GCCGGCCAGCCGGGGGGCACTGCCTGCCGGGGCGCTGGTAAGATGCCCTTTCGACTCGCGCCCGCGGGGAGGGAGGGAGGCCGGTAGCAGCAACCCCACGCCCCCCTAGCCCTTGAGCCCGGGTCATCAGCCTGGGTCTCCGCAAACCTGCTGACTCCACATCTCTTCTCTCTGGAAGCCGGGTTGGGTCCCCGCCAAGGCTCAGGGGTCGTGGGTTGCCCCATCCAGAGACCGAGGACTGCCCCCGTGGTGTCTGGGGGAAGTTGTCTTCTGTGGAGGCGCCTTGGGGGTTACGGAGCCTGGCTGGGTTCCTGTTTCCCATCACTCTTGCTGGGCACCCGACTTGCTCTATGCGTGTGAGTGTCGGTGCCTCGCTCCCTGTCTGAGTGCGTGGATGGTGCCGGATTCTCAGCCGCTGTTTCTGGGTGGTTCTCGCAGCTGCATCTCTTTGGTCTTTGCCGAACTGGGTGCAGACAGCCGAGCCTTCTGTTTTCCCTGGCTTGCGATGGGATCTGGGATGGGTGTTCCAAGCCCCCAGTTAAGACTCAGTCTTGGGTGGCTGGTCTTACTTGGGTCTTCTGTTTCTCCTGGATGTGTGAGCCTCCGTCTTTAACCTTGCCGTCGCCCATGCCCTGTCTGGCTTTACCTCTTACCCATCTCCAGTTTCAGGGCATGGTCCCTTCCTCTCACTGGTTATCCCTGTCTCTCTGTCTTGTGTGTGGCCGGTTCCAGGCACCAGCTATGTGTGGGACACACTGTCACTGACTTTGATTCCTGTGGGTTTTCCTTGCCCTCTTTGGGTGCAGATCTGGGACCAGCTGGGTGGGTAGGGAGGAAACTGACTTGACTTTCTACCCTGTCCCCAACTTCTGCAGGGATGCATTTTACATTTTCTTTGAGCTGCCCTGAGGAGCTAAAAGCACTGGCTGGAGGCAGGAGGTCAGTGTCCCCAAGTGTTGGTCAGGGTGCTAGCTCCCCATGGGTGTGAACTTCTGTCTTAAGGCATAACCAGTGTGTTTTGTTTCCATCTATATCTTCATCATGCCAGTGGCCTGCAGGGATTTGCCTAGTCTCCAAAGGACATCAGACACCAGGGGAGTGGTTTCAGGATCCGTAGGACTGAATGCATTTCTCTGTCATTTGTCACTTCGAGAGTCCTCACAGTGTGATGCTTTCTGATCTGCTAAACTTCTTTGGAGTCTGTGAAGCCCTCTCTGCCGGGAGTACATTCTTTGTGCTTGCAGGCTGAGCCAGCCCTGAAACGTGATGTGATGGCATTTCACATTACGTGTGGGTAGCAGGGAAAATCTTTCCCTTGTTTGTGGAAAGTGGCGTGAGATTACTGATGGAGAACCAGCATCACCAGTGTCCTGCGACCTCATCTTTACAGGGAAGGGTATTCTGAAACACTGTCTTTGAACTCCTGGAGTTGATAGTAATGTGTTCCGGTAGAAATGCAATTAGAAGTTCTTTCAGCATTTGAAGACCCACTGAGAGTTGGGGTGGGGCGATGGATTGTGGCCTGTTGTCCCAGTGTAGGAACACTCAAGGTGGACGTGGAGGTGGCAGAGGCTTCCTGTATCCTTTACAACTGGGATTCAGAAGGGTTTCAGAGGTGCCCTTAGGGTGTTCATACCACCTGTTGAAACAAGTGAAGAGAGGGAAGGAGACAGACTGGTTAGTTTCTTCATAGGTCCCTGACAGTCTGAGCTTCTATGTACAACCCCTTTTGGTGCATTCAGCTCTGTCTTACTCGCTCACGTCCCAGCTTGGCCACGGAGGGGTTTGTGGTTGGTGGAGTAGATGGATGCATGCCGTTTTCCTTTTTTATTCCTTTTGGAATTCCAGTTCCAGCAGCAGACTTGCTCTGCTTTTCTGAAATTCTGCTTCCATCTGCAAGTTCCTTTACTCTTCTGCAGCCCACACCTTCACATCCTAACGTCTCCATTTCTTCACCTTCTAATATAGGCATTATGTATTTTCTTGTCTTTTCTCTCTCTCTCTCTCTTTTTTTTGGTTCCCTTCCTTCCAAGTAGTTGTCTGCCATGCTGCTGTTGACTGTTGTCACTCCTGAATTTGTATTTTGTTTTAGTTGCTTGTCTCTTTGCTCTTTCTGCTCTCCCCCACACGTACGCCCTGGAGGGCTAGATCCTGAAATTGAAGCACAGACTGGATTGAAGCTGGCTGGACCCTGGGGTCTGTCCCTACTCCAGCTGTGCCCACCCAGCCTCTGCCCTCTCATAGAGCTCCAGGAGACCAGAAGGGGGCAGGCTGTTCCCAAAGTCCGGTATAGCTGGAGCTTGGGTTGCAGACTAGGAGAGAGGACCAGACAGTTTCGCAAGCGGTGAGGCCCCTTACAGCATGTGGTTTGTTTCCAGACCTTGCCGGGGCTGCCAGCATGATGCTTTAGAGGGAGATTCAGGAGAGAGACATTAAAATAAAAAGTCCCTGTGATTTTCCAGATGGCTCTTGTAAAGAGCTGGTCAGGCACATGCTTAGAAGATGATGCTTCACGTGTGTGCTCTGGGTGCAGGTTGGGGTGGGGTGGGGTGGACAGCAGTGGTTTTACATGGCCTCCGGTGGTGGTGGGCATGTTGCAGAGAGTGTCAGGCGGGCATGGCGTTTAGAGCATTTTCCAAACCAGACCTTTTCTGCTTCTTTATGCCTGCTTTCTCAGAGCTTCTGCCCCTGTTATGTTTCAGGAATTGCACTCCAGGGGAAGGACTGGATTGTATTTTGGGTCCATTTAAGAAGTCAAGAAGAAACACCCAGTTTTTCAAGTAGAGTCAGAGGGCATATCCATAAAAGATTTGCAAGTTCCCCTTTTCCTCTCAGCCTCTTTCAGAGCTCTTAAATATTGGAATTATTGGGTGGATTATAGCCAAGTTTTGTGGCTGCGACACTGGTTCTTTCTCTGAGTCTCCAATAAACTGGATTTTACTGTCATTTCAGAATTTAAGAAACAGATGGGCTCACTTAGAAAGGGAGGGGAAATCTGGGGGCAAGGGACAACTGTCAGAAAAATCAGCTACAGGTTCTAAATAGATTTCTAGATTTTGGAGAAAATGAAAGAGAGCTGGGTGTGTTAATGTAGTGAATGTTTATTTTGTTTCCCTTTGGTGAGTCTCTTCTTGAAGTCCTCACTTTCATTGCTTGTGCTGTTAGATAAACTGTTACTCAGTAAGTTCCATTTAAGAAATCTAATTTTATATTGCTTTTGCCTTTCTCTGTCCCCCGCCCCCACAAAGTAGAATGGGGTTTCAGTATGATCTGACCCCACTGAAATGTTGATTTTTCAGTAGAATCCTCATACTTCACATTACTCAGATAACTCAGGACTTTTTAAAGACTTAGACAGCGACATTGCAAGACTGGTTCATTAGGTCCAAATCGCCTCTAGTTCTAACAGCATCAGAGGCATAGCTTTTCTTTCTATTCAGATGTTTTGAGACCAGAGAAAACAGGGGGTATCTTATTTATTGATGGTTCATTTTTCACAGTGTCGGTGGAGTTTTATTTTGTGTGAGTGATACATTGCACTTACTATACAGAAATAGGCATTATTGAACAATATTTATCTTACTACAAATGTTGCCATCTGTTTAATCATATACTGGAAAATGTAAATAAAATAAATAGAAGTTATATACATAGGTGTATACATAGTATCAATTCTATTTTATTTATATACATGTATATGCATGCGTATATATTCACTTTCCTTCCAGTCTTCTAACACTATGGACAGTCTCCCTTAGTTCAATTTTCATCTTCCAGGAGGTTGGGTGGTCAAATGCTTGCTATTTTTTGGATAGGAAGCCAGATACGGCGTAACTGCTTATTTACTGGCAATTGTCCAACTTTTGGTCCACGGTCTTAATAGAAAAGGAAATTTGGTGGCTTGAACTAAAGCCATCGTTGCTTCATTGTTTGTCCCCAGAAACCAAAAATATCCTTAAGGATATCTCTGAAGTGAGAGTCAACTTTTACACCCAGAGCTGTTGTGATCAGTGGGGTCATGGATCTATCTGTGTTAGTATTTCAGTGCAGAAAGACTTAACACGCACACCTGCTGGACTGCACAGGTGAGGGGTGACCTCATGCCCATCTTTTGGGTGAGGCTGCCCTGGGTGTCGTCACTTTTAGCAGCTCACTTTCCTTTTCTTGTGCATTTCCTCATTTCTTTTTTTTTTTTTTTTTTTTATTGAATGGTAACTATGTACATTAATGCACTTCTGGGGTACAGTGTGGGGTTTTCACATGCAATCTGAAATACTTCCATCAAACTGGTCAACACAGCCTTCATGTCATTTTCTCAGTTACCGCTTTAAAATGTTCACATTCTACTCTTAGAAAGATTCACCTGTACCCCTATAAGGTAAACCTCAGAAGTAATCCCTCCAAACCCCCTCCCTCCACCCATTCCCCCCTCCCTTCTCCCTCCCACATTTCCTCATTTCTGAGGACCCAGATCCCAGTCCACCAGAAGCAAAGAGAAACTACTTTGGGGAAGAAAAAAATTAAATGAAAAAACCAACCCTATCAAAACTTACATTTAAGGAAGGTGTGTGAGAACAGGAGGCAGAGTCGCAGGAAGTGTGTGCCAGGCCCTAGCACAAGTGAAAGAGGCCTCCATGGAGAAGCCTGGGGTCTGAGAGACCTGGGTCCACATTCTGGCTTGGCTCTTTCTTAATGAGCAAATAGAATGGGAATTGTAACAGTAATAATGCCTGTGTTACAGCGATGCTGTGTTAGGCACTTTATTTATGGATACATGATGGTATGCATTTTGGGAGTACATGTGATACTTTGATACATTCATATGATGTGTAATGATAAAATTGGGATAAGCAGGATATCCATCCCCTCACACATCCCCCTACTTTTTCTTTTTACTGGGGACATTAGAATTCTTCCCATCTAGCTAGTTTGAAATATAAAATAGATTATTGTTAACAATAGTCGTATGACTGAACTATCCAACACTAGCTCTTATTCCTTTTATCAAACTGTATTTTTGTGCCTATTAATCAACCT